AGACTTTGTCCACGCGCGGTAGAACTTTCCCAGAACCGATTCACTCGTGGTGAACATCTTCAGGTAGGCCACTCTGCGAGAATGAAAGCAGGCGGACATGGTAAGAAGCTGATCCATTTCAGCATCGTCCAACTTCTGCTTCCTCGGTTTGATATAGACGCGGAGGCTCGCCGGCCAGCCATGCGTCAACTTGTGGTACATGTCGACGTAGTGAAAGCCCTTCTTCCATTCGGTTGTTTCCTAAGCTTTTCAGCAACCAACTGGGAAAAAGTATAGACTTGTTTGGTCAGTTATATCATATATTAGGAACCAATACCCCAAAAGGTAAAAAAGGATACTACTGAACATCCTAGTTTCCATATCCTCCATGACGTGGTTGCTCACCTCCAGCATCCCGAGGACCGAATTCGCGCCGTCAAATTCCGGGATGTAGTGCAGCGAACCGTCTCTGCTTGGTTTGGACCAAACAGCCATCCCGACGTGCATCACACCGGCTCCTGTAAAAGACATCTGGATCTGGGAAACAACGTCGGTAGAGAAGAGGAAGACCAAGTCTCCAGTTTTCAATTGGCGGTATCCCCGTTCAGGGTCATCCCAGGCAACGCAAGTTGCGTTTATGCATGAATCGACGAACCTGTCCCTCGGGATAGCATCATCCTGCGTGCGGACGCCCTGGGCGACAGCCAGCAAAGCGATGGCCAAAATCATGGATGTAGCTGACATGTGTTTGCAAGACAACCGTAGCGAGAGGCATTTGAATTGTGAATCCTTGTCCAATCTGAGCCACATTCGTAGCCATTTCGGGTTTAGGGTTTTCGGACGAGCACAGCTTGCCAACGCTATCTCGCTTCGATGCAGCTTCGCTGCCAATATGCCATGAGATACTGATTATGATTTTAGGAATGACAAACACTTGGCGTAATTATTCACTCGTTACCCACGAACCTGGCAAAATGCCTGACCCTGTCCAGAACCTATGGACACATGCCCCGGATTTCAAAACGTGATGTGCAGGGCAAGCAGCCTTTGGAGAAGCACGCCTACGCAATGCAAAGAGCAGCTGCATGCTGCCCTGGCATATATGAGCCGGCGTCAAAATTATTTGTTTGTGCTAGGCTCGT